CCAATGGACAGAAGACACTGGGGAATAGGGGAGGCTAGGGGACTGTCTAGGGCGGGGAAAAAAATGGACACATATGTAATACCCTTTGTAATAAAAAATAAAATTTGAAAAAAAAAAAAAAGAACATCATTCCAATAGGTCAAGGCTGTAAGTTCGATCTCCGGTCAAGGCATATACAAGAATCCACCAATTAATGTATAAATAAGTGGAACAACAAACTAATGTTTCTCTATCTCTCTCTCTCTCTCCCAATAAATAAAAATTAAAAAAAACATAAACAATAAGCTTCCAAAACTCTGTTCATAACTAATAGAGAAGTCCACATAATTGTTGAGGAAAAAAATGTGATACTTACTAGTGAGGATTGTAAGCAAGAAAAGATACTCAGTGTATGAAATTAACCCTGAAAGAGATTAAAATAAAAACGTCAGAAAATAAGTTTTAGATGGTTTAGAAGTAATCATATATATACTACATGGAAACTTCACCTAATTAAAAACACATTTTCACTTTAAATTACCTCTTTGGTTCAGTGGGAAACTTTTATAATAGAGTTAAGTACATTACTAATACTTAAAAAGATACTAGGTTTTATCAGATTACTTTTACTAGTAAGGAGGTGGAATGAATGCTGGCTGGGAAATACAGGTATCAATTAGAGGTTGTTTTTAATAAAAATATTTTTTATTGACTTCAGAGAGGAAGGGAGAGGGAGAGAGAGAAATATCAATGATGACATGAGAATCATTGATTGGTGGCCTCCTGCATGTCCCCCCTGCCCCGGAGATCTAACTGTGACCTCCTGGTTCATAGGTCGATGCTCAACCACTGAGTCACACCCGGCCAGACCATTAGAGGTTTTATTTGCATGGCACTCTATTTAGTTTCTGCTCATCTTTAACTGTTCATAACATTTCAAGTAAGCAAATTTACAAATTCAGTAGAATAACAGAGATTTGGATATACAAGGGGTAAACTGTATTATTTAAAATGAAACAGTGAAATCCCTGCAGCATATTGATTTTCCTCTGGGCAACCACTCCTTGCCCACTCTCCAACATGCAGTTGGAGTGGGATAGCCCATGATTTCCCCTTTGGAGGCAGAGGCTGATTGGTCTAGGCGGTCACAGTACTTTGTAGAGCTGGCGCTGGGATGGCATATAGCTAACCCAAGCTCATAAGCAGGATGCATTTGTCTGGCTGCAGTTCACTCAGGGATGAGCTGTGACCTGCACTGGGCCAAGCAGAGAGGGATTTCTGCAGAGAAGGCTGGATCATTCACTTCATCTTTCCCCCTGGATTTTGATGATGTGAAATTTGTTTCACGTAGGATGTGAGGTCATGGAGAGAGCCATAGATCAGTGTTTAGGGCTAAGAATGGAGCCAGTCTGTAAAAGGCAGGCCTGAAGGATATGAACACTGGTGATGCCTGAGCACTGGATTAAACCAGGCGACAAAATAAACTTTCTTTTCGGCTTGAGTAAATGGTGTTGGCTTTTTTTTTTTTTTTTTTAATCCTCACCCAAGAATAGTTTTCTATTTATTTTTAGAGAGAGTGGAAGGGAGAAAGGAGGGGGAGAGAGAGATAAACATCATGTGAGAGACACATCGATTGGTTGCCTCCCGCACGCGCCTGACCCAGGCCAGAGATTGAGTCTGCAACCAAGGTACATATCCTCGACCAGCAATCAAATCTGAGACCCTTCAGTAAGAGGGCCGAGGCTCTAACCACTGAGTAAAACTGGCTAGGGCAATGGTGTCAGGTTTTATGTGCTTGCCAGGAAAAGAATTACAATAAATATAGAAGCAATATCTTATAAATCATAGCTTTTTAATAAGATAAAAAGAATTTCCCTCTGGATCATGAGCTTGGCATAACAAAAAACTTTATCATGGGAAACTTCAGTCATATACAAAAGTAGGGAGAATATGATGAATAATTATATATATCAGCTTCAGTAATATTAGCTCAAGGCAAGTCTTGCTTTATCTATACCTCTCAATCCCTTTCCCTCACTGTCTACTGGATTAATTTGAAACAAAATCCATATAGCATATTATTTCATAGTAGAAAATTCAGACTATAGCTCTAAAAGAACTGTTCCCCCTCCCAAATATATTTATCACACCTAAAAATTATCAATAATTCCTTAATATCATCAAATTAAAATCAGTGTTACAAACATCCCTGCTTCAGAATTTTTTTTAAGTGTGCTCAAATCAGGATTCAAATCAAGTTCTTGCATTGCAGTTGATGGACAGATCTCAAGTCACTTACTTTCTTTGTAAAATACAGTAAAACCTCGATATAACAGACTAATTTGGGCGAGGGGGTGCCTGTTAAAGCCGAAAGTCTGTTATATAATAAAGTAGGTTTTCCAAATGCATATGTTAAAAAGACAAGTTAGTTTACCTGTTTTTACTTATGTAGAAATGTTTGTGTAATTAAAATTAAGTATGTGTGAAAAGTTTAATTTCACAGACAAGTTTTCTATATGTATTACTATAATTATAAATTTATACTGAGTAGGTCTAGTAAATGTGTGCACTCACCAGTCACCGAGAGTAAACAAATGCAAAACCTTGGCATATGGGGGACCACTCTAACCAACTGAGCTACCTGACCAGGGGCAACAATTACATTCCTTTTTAAGGTGCAATAATATTCCACTGTATGGATGCACCAGTTTTGTTTAGCTATCATCTGTTTCCACCTTTTAGCTACTGTGACTACAAACACTGGTGTACTAATATCTGTTTGAGTCTCCGGTTTTAATTCTTTTGGTATTTTCCCAGAAGTGGAATTGCTGGATCAATGGTCATTTCATGTTTAATTTTTTGAGGAACCTCTATACTGTTTACACAGTGGCTGTACCATTTTACATCCCCACCAGCAATGTTCAAGGATTACAATTTCTCCACATCCTGGCCAACATTTATTTTCATTTTTTTTTCTTGATAATAATGGGTGTGAAGTGGCATTTCATTGTGGTTTATTTGCATTTCTCTAGTGATTAGTCATGCTGAGCATACTTTCATGTGCGAATTAACCATCTGTATATCTTCTTACAAGAAATATCTATTTCACTTTGCCCACTTCTAAATTGTTTTTTTTGTTAATCCTCACTTGAGGATATTTTTTCCATTGATTTTTTTTTTTTTCCCCAGAGAGAGTGGAAGGGAGGGAGGAAGAGAGAAACATTGATGTGAAAGAGAAAAATTGACTGGTTAGTTCCCACACATGCCCTGACTGGGGTCAGGGATTGAACCTGCAAGCCAGGTATGTGCCCTTGACTGGGAATTGAACTTCAGTGTACAGGCTTTCACTCTAACCACTGAGCACAACATCCTGGGCTAAAATTTTTTTTGTTTTTGTTTTTTTTTATTGTTGAGTTGTAGTTCTTTTCTAAAGAAAAATTTAAGTATGTTTTTATTGATTTCAGAGAGAAGAAGGGAGAGGAAGACAGAGATAGAAACATTGATGTGAGAGAAATGTCAATCAGTTGCCTCCTGCATGCCCCCTACTGGGGTACTGGGGATCGAGCCTGCAAACGGGCATGTGCCCTGACTAGGAATCCAACCGGGGACCTCCCCAACCAACTAAGTCACACCGGCTGGGTTATAGGAGTTCTTTACATATCCTGAATATTAGCCCCCTATATATAATTTGTAAATATTTTCTTCCATCCAGTCGGTTGCCTTTTTACTCTCTTGATAGTGTACCTTTTTTTTTAAATGTTAATCCACAACTGAGGATATTTTTTCCATTAATTTTTAGAGTGGAAAGGAGGTAGGGAGGAAAGGGGGGGGGAGAGAAGGAGAGAGTGTTGTTAATCCTTACCAAAGGAATTTTTTCCATTGATTTTTAGAGTGGAAGGTGGGGTTGGAGGACAGAGAGGGAGAGAGAAAGAGAGAGATGGCTGTGAGAAAGACATATCGATTGGTTGCCTCCTGATCGTCCCTGGGGATCAAACCTGCAACCCAGGTAACGTACCCTTGTGCGGAAATTGAACCCACAACCTACCTGTTAGTGTGTGGACTGATGCTTTAACAATGAAGTCACACCAGCCCAAGAGATAGTGTACTTTGACTCACAAAAGTTTTTAATTTTTCTTTGTTCCTTGTGTCTTAAATATCTTATAATCTATAGGTTCTCCCTTGTCGTTTTCCCCCCTTTCAACTAATTTGTTGAAGAAGCGTAGTCCTTTGTCCTGTAAAGTTTATTATAGTTTAGAAAATTTTTATGACTGGATCTTCATCATTTCATGTTCCTCTACCTTCTACAATTTCTACAAACTGGTAGCTAGTTAAATCCAGAGTGGTGTTTAGATGCAAGTTTGATTTCTAGCAAGAATTCTTAATAGATGATGTTGTATACATCAGGAGGCTGAAATGCAAATGTTTATAGAAAATGCTGCCCTGACCGGTTTGACTCAGTGGATAGAGCGTTGGCCTGTGGACTGAAAGGTCTCAGGTTCAATTCTGGTCAAGGGCATGTACCTTGGTTGTGGGCACATCCCCAGTAGGTGTACAGTAGGCAGCTGATCGATGTTTCTCTCTCATCGATGTTTCTAACTCTCTATTCCTCTCCCTTCCTTTCTGTAAAAAATCAATAAAATATATTTTAAAAAAAAGAAAATGCTAAATACCATTAAGAGATACTGAGAGTAAGATTTATAGGACTTTAGAAAACTGTGAAATCATTTCCTGAGTTTGGATGATCAGAAGTGCAATTCTAAAAACGGTCTTTGAAGGATGGGTGAAAATTTTAATTAAACAGTTGTGATATAAATGGGAAAGCCATACAAGACAGGTCTGAAATGCTTATGTAGAAGAAGCAATGGGAAGTAAAGCTACCATGGTAGCACAGAAATGAGGAATACAGGCTTGAAGTGGGGATGGCAGAGGAGGAAGATCACATTATAATGGCTCCCAATCATGTAATGCAGAAATGCAATGCAGCAATATAGGGCCAGTTGTTCAGAGCAAGACAGGTAAAGATTTTGCATCCAGGTACTATAATTCAGTGTTTTGGTTGTAACTTCAGGTATGTATTTTAAATGACTTACATTATTACTTTATACCGCTGACTTTTCTGTTTTTATTTTGAAGCAGGTGTACTTCTCTTCAACAAAAAAGCCTATACAGTAAGTCTTCATATATATATATATATATTTTTTTTTTCCTTTTTTTGTTGTTGTTAATCCTCACCAGAGGATATTTTTTCCATTGAATTTTAGGGAGAGTGGAAGAGAGAGGGATAGACAGAGAGAAACATTGGCTGGTTGCCTCCTAAGGGAGCCCTTACCAGGGCCCAGGCTGGGGAGAAGCCTGCAACCAAGGTATGTACCCTTGACCGGAATGGAACCCAGGATCCTTTGGTCCACAGGCCAGTGCTTTATCCACTGAGCCAAACGGGTCAGGGCCAGATATTTTTTTCTTTAAAATATTCAGTGTTCATATGAAGGCATTCTTAGTTGAAGTATTTCATCCTGTGGCAGCCTCACAAAAAAAAAAAGTGAATAGTTTTTTTTCTAAATTTCAAAGGAATATGGCAATGTGAAGAAATGGCCAAACTGCTAGACTGCACTGGTGGGCTTGGTGCCCAAAGGAGACCTCATGTTTCTTTTCTCTAGACATAAGTCCATGTCTTTTCCACAGGGGAGCTGTTTGAAAAAGAAAATTCCAGTTTTTCTTTGAAATGCTGACGTAAATAAAAAGCTTGAATGAAGAGTTGAAACAGTGTAGAAATAGCACCCTACCCTCTCAAGATAGATTATAGACAAAGATATTTGTAACAATAGCATTCTAGGCATTTGCCCCCTGAAAACGCTTTTTAAAATTTATGGACACTTCAGAATATTAACAGGAGAAACAATTTAATACATATTTGCCACATCTAATTGCAAAATAAATTCTGTTAAATGGCAATATTTTAAAACTGCATGTCAAGTACGGAAGTATTTAAAATAATTTATATTTTAAAAATTGTTAAATAATCCTTAGAGGCAACTAGAAGAGATGATTAAATTTTGTTACTATGCTTCTCTGGAAATATTTAAAAATTGGAATCATTATAAAATATGGATTGCCACTGAATGCAATTTTGAGAATCCTGTTCCCCAAAGAGAAATTACCACATCATAAGAATATATTTATATCTTACACTATGTGATATAATTTATATTCAGTATATCTTTGAGAATGGTATTATATTGAGAATTCTGCTTAGGTTTAAAAAATATATAATAACTGTGACTTACAATTTCCTTTTTTATAATGCATGGTGGATAAAATTATTTTTTTATTTCAAGAATATACTACCTTTTGCTAGTTATAAGATAGTGAAAACTTTTATAGTTCTTTTATATGGATTCTCTTTGCGGCCTTCTCTTGTTACTTTAGATCAGGGGTAGGAAATATCTGCACACAGGCAGTATAAAGCCCAAGGAATCATTTAGTCTGGCCCTGCCAAGGCATCAGGGGTGAGTTAATTAAATGTTTGACCAAATATAACAGGCTAATTTTTATTTTTTTAAAAAATATATTTTATTGATTTTTCACAGAGAGGAAGGGTGAGGGATAGAGAGTTAGAAACATCAATGAGAGAGAAACATCAACCAGCTGCCTCCTGCACACCCCCTACTGGGGATGTGCCCGCAACCAAGGTACATGCCCTTGGCAGGGAATCAAACCCAGGACTTTTCAGTCCGCAGGCCGACGCTCTATCCACTGAGCCAAACCGGTTAGGGCCAGGCTAATTTTTAAACTATTTATTTTGTATGGCCTGAGAATGTTATAAATATCCAAATGGCCCTTGGCAGAAAAAAGGTTCCCACCCATGCTTTAGATATTCTGCCCTGCTCCTCCTTTCTAGGCTTTAATAAAAATCGCTTAAGGCCCTGGCTGGTTTGGCTTAGTGGATGGAACGTCGGCCTGCGGACTGAGGGTCCTGGGTTCGGTTCTGGTCAAGGGCATGTGCCTAGGTTGTGGGCTTGGTCCTCAGTGGGGGGTGTGCAGAAGGCAGCTGATCAATGATTCCCTCTCATCACTGATGTTTCTGTTTCTCTCTTCCTCTTCCTTCCTCTCTGAAATCAATAAAAATATATTTTAAAAAATCGCTTGAATAATTTATCTGTGACTGTTCAGAGTATGAGAAAGTTACTTACTACCTAATGAGTATTTTATTACAATTTACAAACACCTATTAACCCATATAACATAAGCGTCTGTAGACGCAAACAGTGGACCTTTCCCACACACCACACACGTCTATAAAAAAAAATGTTTTTCCTAAGTGGCAGCCCTGACCAATTTTAAAATAATTTTTCATGAGAATTTTCAGCTGAAAATATTGAAGAACACTCAAACTGTATATTTATTTTTATAATATTCATTGCAAACTGATTTTTTAAATTAAATTCAAAATATCGTGGTGTGTTGGGGATGGTTTCCGTTTTGGACACATGGTAGTTAACTGGTTAAATAACGTGGTGTGTGTTATAACATTCTCTTTGTAGGTTCTCTACCGTATATTCTCTAACACATAGCCACAAGCCTCATACCATAATTCCTTAGTAATGCTTTGGTTGATAAAAATATATAAGTAGTGCCTGCTGGTGTGGCTCAGTGCTTGAGCGTTGTTGACCCATGAACCAAGAGGTCACAGTTTGATTCTCAGTTTGATTACAGGTCAGGGCACATGAGCAGGTTTTAGGCCGGTTCCCAGTGGGGGGTATGCAGGAAGCAGCAGATGAATGATTCTCTCATCACTGATATTTCTATCTCTCTCCCTCTCCCTTCTTCTCTCTGAAATCAATAAAAACATTTTAAAACAAACACATAAGCAGAAAGTTAACAACAAATCAAAATTACCTTTATCGCCAAGGTCTCTAAAAAAGGTTGATCCACAATGAGTTGTTTGGATTGCTGCCAGTACATCCTCAATATCCTTTGAATATACACATAGTAAAATCTTTTAATTTAACTTATAAAAGGTTCATTTCCTATCATAAGAAAGAAAGAACCCCTCCCTAGACACACTGCTTACCTTTTTTGTCAGCCTCTTGACTAAAGTTTTACCTATAGCAAAGAAGAAACATTACTTAGTAGCAATATTCCTTGGAAAACTCAACTTCCATTAAGAAGAAAATAATTTAAAAGACAAAACTATTTATTAAAAAAAATAAGAGTTGACAATTTTAGCTAAAATCTTTAAATGAAAGTTATGAGCCAGAGAATTCTAAGTCTAAATACAAAGACACTGTAGGTTCTTTGTAAGACCTGTTTTCAATTTCACTCACCCCATCTCAAAAACATGAATTATAATCGGCAGATAATATCCTATTATTTTCTGGTGTACATCACATTGATTTGATACTTACTACTATATACATTACAAAGTGATCACTACAATAAGTCTAGTTACCATCTGCTACAATACAGTTATTAAAATACTAGAGGCCGGTGCATGAAATTCGTGCATGGCAGGGGGGTCCCCTCAGTCCAGCCTGCACCCTCTCCAATCCGGGATCCCTTGGGGGATGTCCGACTGATGGTTTCGGCTGTCCGACTGATGGTTTAGGATGTCCCTGATTTCGGGGATTGGGCCTGAACTGGCAGTCGGACATCCCTCTCACAATCCGGGACCGTTGGCTCCTAATTGCTCCCCTGCCTGCCTGCCTGCCTGCCTGCCTGCCTGCCTGCCTGCCTGCCTGCCTGCCTGCCTGCCTGCCTGCCTGCCTGCCTGCCTGCCTGCCTGCCTGCCTGCCTGCCTGCCTGCCTGCCTGCCTGCCTGCCTGCCTGCCTGCCTGCCTGCCTGCCTGCCTGCCTGCCTGCCTGCCTGCCTGCCTGCCTGCCTGCCTGCCTGCCTGCCTGCCTGCCTGCCTGCCTGCCTGCCTGCCTGCCTGCCTGCCTGCCTGCCTGCCTGCCTGCCTGGTTCCCCCTAACTGTGCCCCCCCCCCCACCCGGTCGCCCCTGTCCCCCCCACCAGCCTGGTCACCCCACGTAGCCTGCTGTTCAGTTGTTTGGTAATCTCTCACTAATCCCCCTGTTGGCCTGGTTGTAGGCAGCCATCTTGTGAGGGTGTGAGGGTTAATTTGCATATTATCTTTTTATTATATAGGATTATTGACTATATTCTTTTTTTTATTTGTTAAGTCTCAACTGAGTATATTTTATCCATTGATTTTTAGAGAGAGTGAAAGGGAGGGAGGGGAAGCAAGAAAGAGAAAAAAACATCAATGAGAGAGACCCATTAAATGGTTACCTCCCATACACACCCCAACCAGGGGTTGGATGGAACTAGGGCCGGGATGGAACCTGCAACCCAGGCACATGCCCTTGACCAGGAATCTAACCAAAGACCTTCAGGTTCTTGGGTTAATGCTATAACCACTGAGCCACATCAGCCAGGGCTTAACTATATTCTTTATGCTGTAGTTTACATCCCCATTACCTCTTAATCCCATTTCAACTGCCCCTCAACCACTCCCCCCTCTAGAAACCACTAATTTGTTTCCTGTATCTATGAATCTGTTTCTGTTTTGTTTTTTAGATTATTAATATAAGTGAAATCATCTGATATTTATCTTTATCTGCCTGATTTATTTCATTTAGTGTACTACCCTTCAGGTCCATACACTGACATTTAAAATCTTACAAGTATCTTTGACTTAGCTTAGTTATCTGCATCATAAATTCTTATCAAACGTGATTTTGTTCAGTTATTACAGCTGCCTCTTTCTGCTTTCACTGATTAAAAAAAATACACCTGCATGTTTTAGAAAGCTACCTTTTTGAACCCTGAAAAGTTCTCTTTAGAGCTCTGCAGTCAAATTAAAAAGGCTAGAAAATAGGACTATCCATTCTAATGTGATGTTACTTTCAATAGTTTTCTATTGGATAACAGAGATTAAAAATTCTGTCAGGTTTTGAGCCATTTTCTCTATGGCTTACATCACTTACCTCTTACTCACTATAATTCTAAAGCTATGACATTGCTTCTTTTGTGATCAGCCATTTTATACAGCTAGAAAAATGCTGGAAAAGGTCTCCTTTCATATCTTACATAAGTCATGTGCATGCACTACAAACTTCCTGTTTTGCTCTCAAATTATCTATGAAGTTCCTTTTGTACACTGAAAAATCAGCCCAGCCGACGTGGCTTAGTGGTTGAGCATCTACCCGGAGGTCACGGTTGGATTCCTGGTCAGGGCACATGCCCGGGTTGCAGATTCGATCCCCAATAGGGGGCATGCAGAAGGCAACTGATCAATGTTGATCTCTTATCATTGATGTTTCTATCTCTCTCCCTTTGTCTCTGAAATCAATAAAAATATATTTTAAAAAAAGAAAAAGAAAAATCACGTGACAAGTTAAAATGAATACTTTCTCTATGTGCCTTTCCTGTAGCTTGAATGCTTAATTGGGACTATAAACCTAGTGGGAATAAATTCTATTTGATGTTAGCAAATTTTCAGTATTTTAATTTTGCATTATAAATGAAAACATTAATTGTGAATATGATTAGTTTTTAGAAACATCTATGACCATGTTTGTAAGCTTAGGTATTACAGTTTGGGATAATTTTTATTCACTGATACACTATTACATGTTATCAATAACAAAGAACTCTAGATTCTAATATTAGGTGCTATACCATGAGGTCATCACACAAGTAAACATTACAACTTAATTTACAAATCTAAGGGGCCGTGTGAATGTGTATGTAGAATATGTAGTAATATGATGCTGATAACAAACCTCAGAAAAGTGTGTATGTAGTAGACGTATTTCCCTATCTTTGTATATTCTATTAGCTTAAGAAACTGACTATGCCCTGGCTGGAGTGCGCAGTGGTTGGAGCATTTGGTCCATGCACAAAGAATCGAGGGTTCAATTCCTGATCAGGGCAGGTACCTAGGTTCTGGGACCCAACATACACCTCATTTGGGTGCGTGCTGGAGGCAGCAAGTTGATGTGTCTCACATTGATGTATGTCTCTCTCCACTCCCTCCCTTTCACTCTCTCTGAAAATCAATGGGAAAAAAAATCCTCATGTGAAGCTTCACAACAAAAAAACCCAAAACAAAAGCAAACAAACAAAAAACTGACCATGATTCACATGCTTTATACTGCTTTTCTTAAAGTTATGTCACATATTATTCATTATCATATGCAATTTCATTTTTAGACAATTTAGGTTAGTCTTATCAGTTTTTTTTAAAAAAATCTTTATTGTTAAAAGTTTTACATATGTCCCCTTTTCATCACCATTTCTAGCATGTCCCTAAACCCTGCCCCAGGCCTTCACACTATTGTCTGGGCCCATGGGTTATGCACATATGTATACAAGTTCTTCGGTTGATCTCTTCCCACCCACCCACAGTCCCCCGCCTTCACTCTGAGATTTGACAGTCTGTTCTGTGCTTGTCTCAGGATCTATTTTGTTCATTAGATTCCACATATGAGTGAAATCATGTGACACATGTCTTTCTCTGACTGGCTTATTTCACTTAGCATAATATTCTCCAGGTCCTTCCATATTGTCTCAAAGGGTAAGAGATCCTTCTTTTCTACTACTGCAGAGTATTCCATGATGTAAATGTATCACAGCTTTTTTTATCCACTCATCTACTAATGGGCACTTGGGCTGTTTCCAGATTATAGCTATTGTAAATAGCACTGCTATGAACATAGGGGTGCAAACATTCTTTCTGATTGGTATTTTGGGTTTCTTAGGATATATTCCTAGAAGTGGGATTACTGGGTCAACCAGCAATTTCATTTTTAATTTCTTTAGGGAACTCCATACTGTTTTCCTTATGGCTGAACTAGTCTGCATTCCTACCAGCAGTGTAGTAGAGTTCCCATTTCTCCACATCCTCACCAGCACTTGTCATTTGTTTATTTGTGGATGGTAGCCATTCTGACAAGTATTAAGTGATATTTCATTGTCATTTTAATTTGTATCTCTCTTATGATCAGTGACTTTGAGCATTTTTTTCATGTCTCCTGGCCATCTGTATGTCTACTTCAGAGAAATGTCTATTTAGGTCCTTTGCCCATTTTTTAAAATGGGATTGTTGTCTTCTTTTTGTAAGTTGTATGAGTTCCCCATATATTTTGGAGATTAACCCTTTATCAGATATATCAATGCCAAATATGTTCTCCCATACAGTGGGCTCTCTTTTCATTTTGTTGGTTTCTTTTGCTGAGCAGCCTTTTATTTTGATATATTCTCATTTGCTTATTTTCTTTTTAGTTTCCTTTGCCCTAGCAGATGTATCCATAAACATATTGCCATGAGAGATGCCTGAGATTTTGCTGCCTATGGTTTATTCTAGGATTTTTTATGGTTTCTTGACTTACATTAAAGCTTTTTATCCATTTTGAGTTTATTCTTGTGCATGATATAAGTTGGTGGCCTAGTTTCATTATTTTTTTTGCATGTATCTGTCCAATTTTCCCAACACCATTTATTAAAGAGAGGGTCTTGGCTCCATTATATGTTCTTGCCTCCTTTCTCAAATATTGAGCATAATGACTTGGGTCAATTTCTGGGTTCTCTGTTCTGTTCCATTGATCTCTACACCTGTTCTCGTGCTAGTACCAGGCTTTTTTTAATTATAGTGGCTTTGTAGTGTAACTTGGTATCTGGTATTGTGATCCCTCCAACTTTGTTCTTTCTCAAGATTGCTGCAGCTATTCGGGGTTGTTTTTGGTTCCATATAAACTTTTGGAGTATTTGTTCTAGATCTGTGAAATATGCTGTTGGTATTTTAATAGGAATTGCATTAAATCTATAGATTGCTTTTGGTAGTATGGACATTTTAATGATGTTGATTCTACTAACCCATGAACACAGTATATTTTTCCACTTGTTTATATCTTCTTCTATCTCTTTCCAACATCCTGCAGTTTTCTGACTACAGGTCTTTTGCCTCCTTGGTTAGGTTTATTCCCAAGTATCTTAACTTTTTTGTTGCAATAGTAAATGGGATTGTTTAGTTTCTCCTTCTGAGAATTCATTATTGGTGTATAAAAATGCCATCAATTTCTGAGTGTTAACTTTGTATCCTGCTACATTGACAAATTCATTTATTAAATC